CGTTGAGTCGTTTACAATTTCATTAAATTGTCTTGTAGATAAAAACCTAGAGAACGCGGAGGAAGCAGCAGAGCAGTTCAAGTTAATCCAGGCAGCGTATGATGTTCTCAGTGACCCCCAGGAAAGAGCCTGGTGAGCAGTGTTTATCTGGTGGCGGCCTGGAAAAGGCTTCTTTAATTCTGTCTCGGCCAGGACTTTGAAATTGCTTCTCGCTGGGCCTTCCTGCCAGTGAGCGCGGGCCTCTGTGGCAGGAGCAAGCCGCTTCGCTTCGGGCTTTGGAGGGGTTGAGAGCCATGCAACGTGCAGCCTCCTGGGGAGGCACAGCTGCGCGCCCACACCTTCCTCTCGGCGCTTGGGGAGGTGGTGGTGGGCTGGGCACCGAGGGTGGTCTGGGGACACACCGGTGTTGGCCTCTGTGGCACGTTAGCATAGGTATCCCTCTGGTCACAGTCCTCGCTGCCTGTGGGTGGGAAGAACCAGCACCACACTGAGTGCGTGCAGGTGTTTAGTGTGCTACTGATTGCTGCAGATAGTGCCGCGTTTCCGTAACGGTCCTAATTTGGAATATGCACACACATCTCTTTTTAAGAGGTTGCTACTTTAAATGGTCTGTGTAGCTTGTTTTTCAAATGGGCTGAAGCGCCTACCAGATTACACAGCCAAAACCACCTGTTAGTAAGTTTGTCCTCCTTGAAAGGAAAGTATCATTTTTCAATTTTTATGTGCTAATGTATGATTTGGGGTGTTTTGTGTGTGTATGTATTGGACGACTTAAATAATGTCCTACTCGTTTCTGAAAGCTTATTGAAGCATCTTGCTCAAATGTGTTTGCTAGCTGCCCGTTAAGAAATTGCTGCTATGGATATTGCAGATAAAGTAATAGTAAGTAAGATAAAGGTCAAGAGAGAATACTTACTGAGCCTGCCTTTTTTACTCTCTGAAGACTTTGGGTATGAGACACAAATTCCAGACACTGGGCTAAGCTGTACATTGGGGTGATACGTGTACTGTGTTAGCTTACCAGCACTGGGGAATGTTCTGTGTGTCTACATCCTTGATACTGTGAATTTTTGCTAGGTATGATAATCACAGGGAGGCTCTGCTGAAAGGAGGAGTTGACGGAGACTATCAAGATGATAGTTTAGATCTGCTGCACTACTTCACTGTTAGCTGTTACTCTGGATATGGAGATGATGAAAAGGTAATGAATTAATTAATCGCTAATGAATCAATTTAAATTTCATGAAAAGTGTTGGCGTTTGCTTCATGTTGAAAAGCTATATATGGAATTGTTGAGTACAGGTAGTAATAATGCTCACACAAATTGTCGTGGTTTAACGCCAGCCAGCAACTAAGCACCACACAGCCACTCGCTCACTCCCCCCCCCCCCCCCCCCCCCCGGGAAGTGAGAAAACTTGTGGGTTGAGATAAGAACAGTTTAATACTTGAAATAAAATAATAATAATAATTAATAATAATAATAATAATTTGTAATGCAAAGTAAAACAACAAGAGAGAGAGGAACAAAACCCAAGGAGGGGGGGAGCAACAAGTGATGCAGGCGCTCACCAGCCACTGACCTGAGCAGCGATCACTGCCCCCCAGCCAGCTCCCCCCAGCTTATATACTGAGCATGACGTCACATGGTATGGAATATCCCTTTGGCCAGTTTGGGTCAGCTGTCCTGGCTGTGCCCCCTCCCAGCTCCTTGTGCACCTCCTCGCTGGCAGAGCATGGGAAGCTGAAAAGTTCTTGACTTAGTATAAACACTGCTCAGCAACAACTAAACCATCGGTGTGTTATCGCATTATTCTCATGCTAAATCCAAAACACAGCACTGTGCCAGCTACTAGGAAGAAAATTGAGTCTATCCCAGCCAAAACCAGGACACAAATCTTTCTAAGACAAAACTGATGCTGGATGCTTAGGGAAGCTTTAATTCCTGCTTATTGTCCAACAGTCACTTAGTCATGATTTCCCACTATACCATAAAACTACAGAGTGTGTGTACATTATTTATTTACGTTATAAAGTGAAGCATTCCAATGCTTTGCAATACAATCTGTTTATTCAAAAATATCTTTAACAAGCTAGAATGCTTCAAACTAAAAAAAAAAAAAAAAGGCAATATAACAGCAGTCCTTGGGGAAAGTGTGCTTCCTATAATTGAATACCCTGTTGGATTTTAAGATACTCATCGTAACTTAAAAAGCTCCAGATGATTAGAAAAACCTCTGCCAGAGAAGAATCCTTATCTGTCTTTGTGTTACTATACTAGGAGTGAGTTAGTAACACCTTAATTTAAAAAGAGATAGGATACTTAATACTGAATTCTATATTTGGAACTTCCTCAAAGCTTGACCCTGTGTAACCAGAAACTTATCAACATCTCCAGCATGCTGAAACTTTTTTTTTAGTTTAGATTTGAATACAGGTGCTTGATACGTGAGAGAGACAGAGACTACATGAAGGAGATGGAAATAAAAGGAACGTGAGAGAATGGGAACTTTGTTAAACAGAAGGGTCTTGCTATCTAGAGCAAGTGCTTACAAGGCCTTCACCCTGATTTTGAGTTGCTGTTGCAGAATTGTAATATTTCTCTAAAATACACTGCTGTAGCTGAGCATTTGTACATCTATTATTGAGCCATGCAAAATGAGTCAGATACATGTATTTTTTTTATTTCAGGGATTTTTTACAGTCTATCGACAAGTTTTTGAAAAGATTGCAAAAGAAGAGATGGAATATATGACCCAGGAAGATACTGAAGAATTCCCTATGTTTGGATATTCCCAAAGTGACTATGATACGGTAAGAGCAAGTGCAAATCTGAAATGAAAGTGGCACAGTTAAGTCATTACTTTGTCCCACACTGAAATCGAAGGAAAGGGTCCTGCTGATCTCTGAGGTGAGTACAAAACCATGTATCTGCTGTCTTTTCTACTACTGTAGACCATTACTACAAAGGAAGTGCTTGTGTTCTGATTCACAATATCTAGGTGAATTAAAATTGGTATTTCCTGTTGGACTATATTATTAGCCAGACTTTTAGGGTAAGTTGTCAGACAAACACTTCACAGGGCTAACCATCAATTATGCCAATGAAACCTAAATGTAGTGCAAGCCCTATAAAACAAAAGAACAGATGTTTTCTTTGCTTCCTGATGAGAATAGTTTACCAGTGTTTTAACGCAGCTTACGTTACAGAAGGGGATATTGAGGTAGCTTTTTTTTTTTAAATAACATGTAGTGTCTTGCCTCATTTGGGAAAACTGCATAGCACTTACTGCATAACACAGCCTTTAGAAAGTGGGAGATGTGGTGGTTGACCTGCAGTGTGAGGTCCCACTGTGATACTGTTGTCATCTACAATTATGCTGTAGTAAGATTTAATTTCCAAAATATTGCATGCTTTCCTTTGGGAAGCAAGAAAAGAAAATGTGTGGGGGACAAGTGAGTTCTTGTCATCTGGTTTGCCAACTATTTGTTGTATTCTATCAGACTTACAATTTTTTTTTTAAGGTTACCGGTATTCCTGTGTTTAAATAGTAAAGTAATAGCACTTCCCCAGTGAATAACTGCACAGTGTCAGTGTACTCAAACGTTGCTCCTAGTCTGCTCCTTCTCCCTGTCACTTTTAGTAGAATTGTACTGTATGACTAATTATTTATGAAATATAAATTGATCCACACCTTAAAAATGAGTAATTTCAATGGTACAAAACTTGGCTGGAGTTGGAAACAAAGTTGCAAATCAAACTAAGAAGTATAAGAATGGGTGTTTGACTATCAGATGAAATTACAGGATGGCTTAACAAATGGAAATCTTTTCCCAGAGAGAGAATATTTAGTGCCTCTGAAACTGCTAAAATCCGTCTTTTAATGGAGTTAACCTTGAAACATCTTTTGGAAACTGCTTGTTACAAGGCCATGGGATAGATATGATTGTAGACCCAAAATAGCTTTTATGCTGTCAATGAATAACTGCAAAAATGGCTGGAATTCTAGCACCAGCATGCTTTGACATCTGCCTTGTTCACGCTGTTATGGAAGCAGAATGCTCACTTTTTTTTTAAAAGGGATTCATAGGAGTAATTTATGGGAAATAGCCTCAGTTAAATGGGAAAGTCATTATCCCTGTTATCTTGTATTAAGACAAAGAGACTACACTGTCAGAGGATTCTGGCATTGCAGTGCCCTCTTCTCTACTCCGTGGGAGTATTGTGGGAAAAGGGAAAAGAGTTTTAGAAGGGAGCTACATAAACTCTGCAGAGGCTTCAAAGTCTGTGATGTGAATGTTCTCTGGTTCAGTCTACTGAGTTAATTCATAAGAAGCTTGAGAGGCAGCTTGATCAATGCCAGGCAACCAGGGAAGATACTCTTAAGTCTGTGACTTCACAAGACTTCATGGGAAGAGAAGACTTGTAGGTCAATTAGATGCAGAAACAAAAGCGATCAACTCCAAGTATAAGTAGTAGGCAAAACAAAATCCACCTGGGAGTTCAGCAAGAGCTGCTGTACAGTCTTTTGGAGAATGTCAGAGATGTGCTTGTATGTCAGCTGCTGAGGAGAAGGAAAGTCTTAGCTCGTACAGCTGGTGAAGGGGAGGATGATCCCTGTCATCAGTTGATGGCCATGCATCCTTTTGCACAGAAGACATCCCCTTGTGAAGCAGAAATCTGAGATACGGAGTCTAATCTCACTTAGGTTATTGGATTAAATATGAATATTTATTCATTATTATAGAGCTGAGTTTTTGTGATAGCAGAGAAAAACTGTAGCGACTTACCTGCCAGAGGCCACAGCCATGAACTCTTGCATGTAGATAGGCCATTGGAAGTTAGTGTTGAGGTGTTGATAGTCCATGTGAATACCAATGGCAGAAGGAGGAGAAGAGGAGATACTAGAAAAAGAGGTATTAAACCGTTAGGTTAAATACTTCTATGATCTATTCCAAAATATAAACAGTAGTGCATGTAGGAGTAAGTAGTAAAAAGGCAGCTTAATGGGGTGAGTAATGTAAGAAGGGAGTTTAGGCATATAAAAAATGCAGAAGGTCAATAGTTATTTGGAGAGGAATAGAGAACAAAACAAAAAAAATATTATGCCATTTTGTTAATCCAGCATTTACTCATGAATAGTAAAAGGGAGGAGAATAAGGAAAGATCATTTGCTGTTTCTTTTAGTGTGAGAGCTAGAGGACATCATTATAACCTGCAGTTGTATAATTTGCTAACAAAACAGGAGTAAGTGCATCTTCACATAGCCCCTTGTTAAACTGTGCAAGTCACGGCTCCGTGCTATTGTATATGCCAGCAATTTACACGGGTTAATAAAAGAAATATTAAACAAATTCATGAAAGAAAAATCTGTCAAGGGCTATTGATTTCTGTCTTGCTCTGGAAGCAGAGAGAATATACAGGGAAGAAATAGCATTATGTACTTGTGTTTGTTTTATTGCTCTTTTTGTGCTGGTCATTGGCTGCTGTTGGAAATATATGGCTGACCTTTGATGTAATTCAGTATGGTGGTTCTTGGGCAATACATGCATATGCCTGCTTGCGGACAGCATATATCATTCTGATTGTGGTTTTCAGTTTGACAGGAAAGGTACAGCACAGCTAAGTAACTGGGCAGTAGTGTCAGCATGATCCAATCCTGCAAGGGGATATTTTTTAGAAGGTGCAGTTTGGAATAGTTTAGATAAGGTTGTTGATTTGGCATGGTTTGAAGTTTTAAGGATGATATTAGAGGTTTCTCTAAACCTTCATGTGATTTATTTATACTCTGAGGGAAAACTGTCGCCTATACAGAAGACAGAAAACTGCTGTATTATTTGGTATGGCTTTTGTCCCCCCCGAAACAAGTGACTTGTTTAAATTCTTTTTTCCTACAGGTAGTCCACCCTTTCTATGCATATTGGCAGAGTTTCTGTACTCAGAAAAACTTTGCTTGGAAAGAAGAATATGACACACGACAAGCCTCAAACCGCTGGGAAAAACGAGCTATGGAAAAAGAGAACAAGAAAACGAGAGAGAAAGCAAGGAAAGAGAGGAATGAACTGGTCCGTCAGCTAGTAGCCTTTATTCGCAAAAGGGATAAAAGGGTACAGGCTCACAGAAAACTTGTAGAAGAACAAAATGCAGAAAAAACTAGGAAAGCAGAGGAATTTCGGAGGCAGCAGAAGCTCAAACAAGCCAAGTATGTAAATGTGGAAGAAATATTTTCTTTTAAACTTGGGAGAAACTAACCATGAAGGTACCATATAGAGTTAGATTCTAATAATAGCTCCGCTTGCTCTTTTAAACATCCTTGAAAATTTTATGTATTAGTTTTGGTCTCAAGTCTGAGCTTTTTAAAACTTTAGTGTCTCTGCATTGTACTGACGTGTAGAGGTCTAAGATAACCAGGGAATAGTTATCTGTGTGCTGCAGGTAACTGGCTGTAGTAGCACAGAATCTAGTGTGCTTTTACTTACCTGGGGAAGTAAGATTTTATAGTTAATCATTGTTCCTTTAAACAAAAAGAATGCCTGTTTTGGAATGAGGGAGAACAGGACTATGACAACCTGGACTTACATCAGCTTCATCAGCCTTGGAACTGTACCTGCTAAAAAGAAAATGGGACAAATGAGCTCAGTTTTGCTTTTCCTTTTAACTCTTCAGAAAGGACCCTTTCAGTGGACTAAATGAATTTTTTTTGATGCTTTTATTTTTCCCAAAATTAAGTACAAGGAAGAGGCAATCTCCTGAGTGTAAGCACAATTTAGTCTTCCAACTAGAAGAGCTTTTTGCCTGCAAATGGGAGGAAGGAGCTTAAATTCTTAATAAGAGGGCACTTGGAAAATGATTGCATGTTGATTAAAATTATATAATATTAAAATATATATGGAATATATTATGTACATTTTTTTTATATATATATTTTTTTTCCCTAAAGGGAGAATGAGGCAGAGTTATGCATTTCCTGACAAATGGCTTGATAATTTGTCTCTTAGTCCAGGAGCCAGCTGTAGCAAAATTCAGCTGTACTGTGGTGTACTGACTGGTAACTTGGGCCACACTTCGATTTGGAAAGCTGAGTTGGTACATTCCCATAGCACAGAGTCAAGGAGTAATGTGCTTGTGGCTTTTTTGGTCCTGTACTGTTCATGGGTTTGGATTTTGCAGCAGGTAAAAGCAACTGCTTTGAGGATTGAGTCGACTTCCCTCCTGTCAGCTTGATATTGACCATGCTGCATAGCATTTCCTGCCTGAAATTCAAGCAGGACCCACCTATGTTAGGACCTCTTCACTTGCAGCGTAGATGTGCCCATTGACATCACAAATTAACTGCTCAGATTTCCAGGCCCTACAGATAATTGTTTGCTCCATCATAATATGTTCAGGACTTTCCTCCTAAAATACAAGAGAAGAACAAGTTATCTTTTAAATAATACTGTTTCTGTAATTCCCATCTCATGGACTCAGTGTAGAAATTACTGTATTATTCTACTTAAAGGCTTGCTGAGCAGTATAAAGAGCAGAGCTGGATCACTATGTCAGATCTGGAGAGAGAGTTGCGAGAGATGGAGGCACAATATGAGAAGGAATTTGGAGATGGATCAGACGATGAAGATGAATTAGAAGAAGAAGAGACAAAAGGCATCGAAGGTATGGGTTGTGGGGGGTGATCTGTAGTGAGTCGTCAGCCTGAGTATTGGCTCACTGGACTTAAAGCCCAGATTCACAGACTGTAGTGCAACTCCCTGCCTCCAGCTGAGGCATGCCAGGCTAGAGTCTGGCCCTCTCTGGTGTTTTCCATTCAACATGAGAAGACATCAAGTTACAGCTGTTAATTTATGCTAATGTATGATTTGGTGAGATGGTCTTGATCTGTCTGCATGTCAATAATACTAAAGAAGGTGAATGTCAGTGTTGCGACTGTTTGCTGGGGCTTTAAGAGCAGCTTACACAAAAATCACTCATCTGTCTGATCCCCTCTGATCTCTTCAGACAAACTGAATGATGAGACTGAAGAAGCTGAGTTTGTTGATGGTCTGTACTGCCCTGCTTGTGACAAATTGTTAAAAACTGAGAAAGCGTAAGTGCTTGTGGTTGGGGATTTGGGGGTGAAGATGTTGGGTTTTACCTTTTTTAAAAATGCATTTTAAAGACTTTTTAACTTCACATAACAGTCAGTGTCATCTTTCCAGGAGAGACATTGTCACGGCAGAATTTTCCATACTTAGTAGTGATGGGTAATGGGCCTGTTATTAATTTATATGTAAATATAACCATGTTTGCTCAGAGCTACCTGCAGTAACGATCTGCTGGTCTTCACAGCATGAAGAATCACGAAAAATCAAAGAAGCATCGAGAGATGGTAGCACTGTTACGACAGCAACTGGAAGAAGAAGAAGGGAAGTTTCCTGTGTCTTTGGATGATGCAAATGGAATACATACCAAAGAGGAGGAAGACACAGAAGACATGCCCAAACAGAAGTACTTTAAATTGGTTTTAATTTTATCGTGACTAATGATTTAGTAAGTCTTGGAGGCCCTCAGAGGGAGCTTCTGATGATTTATAGTTGTGTTGGAACTCATAGTATTGTGCAATTTAAAATATTCTTTAGCATCAGAGTTCCAGTAAAATGCATGCATTAGTATGACTGGATTCAAATATTGTAGGATAACAGCGTCGTATTTTCTATGCTTCTTAAAGTTACATTTAAGGAAAAGTAGTGATTGTTATTTTTCAAACAGGGGAACTTGTACAGGGCCAGTGCAAGTGTTTATGCTTTGGTACTTTTTTGGTACTTTCTGTCAGTTGGATGCTGGCATACATAGAAAATGAGCGTGCTTAAAATCAGAATTGATGATGTAAGTTGCACAACTTCATTTTTTGAACGGCCAAAGCATAATACCAACTATCTCACTAGTATTTTCAAGTTCAGTCTGAGCAGAATAACTTTTACTAAATGCAAATGGTAGTTTAGGAGAAATGTTGTTTTCGGGCATGAGTGATTTTCTCTTTGTGGCTACTGTCTCCCTAATATGTTAAGAGGATAAGCAAAAATAGAATTTGGTACCTTTTTAGAAATTGTACTTTTTTTTTTTTTCTTGAAAGGAGGTAATTTTAAACTCTTTATCTTTACAGACTTTCAAAGAAGCAGAGGAAGAAACAGAAAACAATGATGGTATGTAGTCATATAATGATATTCAGGGAACTTTACAACCCAGTTTTGTTATCTCCTAACCTAACTTTTTTTGTCCTGAAAATTAAGAGAGAACTTGAAATTCTACAGAACGTGAAGACTGTTTTCATATAGTTTTAATTCTTCTTTGACTGCAGAATAATTTTTAATTCTTCTTTGACTGCAGAATATTTTTTATTACACTTACTATGATCATATGATAATAATCTTGTAGACCTCACTTTGTTATGTTTGTGCAGATCCTAATAAGTGTGGTGCTGGCTCTAAAAAGGTTACAGTCTGAAGCGTAAGGCAGACAGACAGAAACAGGCAGATAGGGAGAATGCAAGGAATTGATCAGAAAGACCAGCAATGGCCTTCGTGCATTACCAGCTTAATTGTTTGGTGGTTGTTTTCTGCTTTGGTTGCTAGAGTTGGTATGATGTATTGTTTGTTAATCTCTAACTTAGGGGCGGGGGGAAAGTAACACATTATTGGCATCCTACTGACACTGTAGTTGTTGGAACGAACACATCCATTCCACCTTTCACTTGAATTGTAACAGCAATCTGTTGTACTCCAGGATCTGAGTCTGTGCGTGATATGACAGATCTGTGTACTCCAGGATCTGAGTCTGTGTATGATACGACAGATCTGTGCTGACAGCAGCAGGGTGAAATTGAAGAACTGCAAGCTGTTTCAGGCTTGAGTGCCATAGTGAGCAAACTCTCTGTCTGCCTTCCTCAAGCTTGATCCTTTTGAAGTTTCACCTCTTCTCTACTTACTGCCTCAGTCCTAGCCTTGTCCCAGTGAGCTATCTGTACCAGGCCCTGCCTCTTCTATCTTTTCCCAAGATGGTCTTGTGTCTTCCCCCAACCTAACCCCTCTAGTCTCCTATTACGTGTTCACCTTCTGTGCCCTCTCCCACACCATCATTATCTCTCATCCTCAAGAAACTTCCCTGAGACTTTCAAGCAACTGAATTTTTCTTGCTTCTCTGGCTGGTATTGCATAGTCCAAGTCAGTGTTGGCTTGACCTTCTTGTTTCCATGCAGGCCATCAGGCCCCTGTTCAACTCTTGCCGCCTCAGTTTGAAATCAGAAGGTCTTGTTCTCACTGTATAGGTTGTATATAGGCACTGTGTCTCTCTTCCATCAGTTTGGTCACGAGGTCTTCTGCAGCCCAGACAGTAGGTGCCACTCTCGTGTAGCGTGAGCTGGAATCTTGTGCAGAGCGATTCCTCTGGAAACGTAACCTCCATCCTCTGCCAAGCTTTATGGAGCGCAGGGAATCGCTATGGTTTTCTTTTCCTGAAGGTAGGTAGATTAGCCAAGTTTTTTTCAGGTAGCTGAGACTCTGCAAAAGATACTGGAGGTGATAGAGTTGCATTAATGTAGTGTTAGGTGAAATTTGTTGTCCTGCTTTTGGGAGCTGAGCTGTTTTGCTTCAGACATGCTTAGGAGTTGATCTTTTGCCAAACTGCCTGTATTGAGTCTGCTCTGTCTTCTGGTATGTGGAAAAGGCTGCCAGTGTTTCTAATGTTAGGGAAGAAAAATACAGTGTGTCTATCTAGCTTCAGTCAGCTCAGTTATTTTGGCTTAAATGTGCTAACGTAGGTGTCTGGCACAGAAAACTTCAGTCTAAATAATTAACCTTTTGCAAAGTTACAAGCAAAGCCACTATCTTATAATGTGAAATGGTAGCCAGAATGGAATGAGCCCTGTGCATAATTAAAAGCTACCTTCATGCTCCTCTTCCATAGTTTTAGAGTCTGTTTTATTGGTGTTTCTTCCCTTTGTCACAGGTGGCCTCCATCTTTCAAAACAGGAGAACTAAGGTTTTACCTGTTACAATCTCACTGAAAACACACAGTAAAATTAAGAGTGTCCATGGCTTTGTCTTCTCCCCACCCACCCATGTTTGAGGTAAATGAGGTATACTACTATAATCAGTAATGAACTTAAAGTAGTTGACTTGCAATTCTTCTGTTTGGACAGACTTACGAGGACTCTCTTGATAAAACTGCTGATGAAGAAACAGTTGAACAAAAGGAGGTGCCCTGCATGGACAAGGACAGTGGCTCAGCAGAGGAGCTGATAAATGATGGCCAAGGATGTGCTGTGCCAGAGGACGCAAGCGCTACAGAAGAAGTCAGCCAAGTGAATGAAGCAAAAACTGAAGCAAAAAGGTGTGCTGACTTGCCATATTGCAGTCATGGTGTCATTCTGTGTCATGTTTGATACTGTCAAACAAGTCTAGATTTACTCACCGATGTGAACGGGGGGCTGCTGCAGTCAGATTTGAATAAATGTGGTACTAAACAAGGAGCGTTAGGATCTACTTTGGAAATGGTGTTTGACTGCAGATCCCTGCCACGTCACTTACCAGTAGCAGATTTATCATCTAGCTGAATCTTGAGATCAACAATTGATCGTATAAATTAAATTGCTTTGGTTTTCTGGAAGCACTTGCATTGTGTTGTGTGAAGGAAGAACAGGGGGAAGCAGCAGAGACATTGATGATTGAAAACCATCAGAAGCTCTTAAATGTTGAATGTTCCTGTGACTGATCTTGGTTTCTCTTTGTTTATCAGCAGTACTAAGCCTAAAGGCAAAAAAGCAAAGGATGCAAAAAAGTCTGCTAAGGCATCTTCAGAGCACCCAACAACGGTATGTCACATTACTTATGCTGTTTAAAAGCTGGTGGTCATGTTATTACAAACAAGGTTGGTTGGTTGATCTCCTCCAGTCCACAAATTCAGTTTCAGTTTTTTGCTTATTTTTTAATAATGCAGGTATTTCTATCCCTGTGATTTTACTAGAAGGTAGGAGACTGGAACGTCAGCACTCGTCCTCACAGAAAAGAGCAGGACTAATTTTCAGTTCTAAGAGAGTTGCTAAAGCTCTGTATCCAAGGCAGTTCAAATAAATTAAACAACTGAAGACAGAGCTGTTGTCATCAGGCAGGTGACAGGCAGTACCATTTGCATCTTTCCCAATATTGATGCTTCCCAGAAAGGGCAAAATCTTGTAATAACTACAGCGAAGACACATGAAATTCACTAAATCTCAGAGCCCAAAGTAGTAAGTGTATAGTCCTTTTTTAGTCAGGTGAGATCAAAAGTATTCTTTATCTTGAATTAAATTTGCAAGGCTTCTATTGTTGTTATTGGTTCTATTTAGTACTCTTCAAAATTTCAAGAAGCCATACTTGTGATTTTTTTAACGTATGTATTCAACTGTTAATTAGTCATGGAATATCTGTGATAGAAACAAACAGCTTATTCACATTTCATTGTCTAAAAGAAACTGCATACAACAAATTGGTGTATTGTACTTATTTCATATTCCATACAAATGTGAAGCATTTTGGTTTTTCCCTCATTGCAGAATGAAGTTCCCATCCACTGTGTAACCTGCAACTGTGCATTTCCATCCCGAAATAAACTGTTTGAACACCTAAAAGCCACAGGACATGCAAAAGCAACACAAGCACCAGCTGTAAATGGAGCTGTAAACAGCAGAAACAAAAAAGAGAAACGTAAAAACAGATAGAACTTTGTTACAGTGACAGTCTTCAGAATCGTACATGAAAACTCTCCCAAAACTGAAAGGTGCACGTTGCCTGTGTTCGGAGTTAAACAGAGGAGGCAAGTCCTAATTTGGGGAGAAAAGGAAGATGCAACAAAAGGAATATTATCTTGTGAAGGAACCTGTGCTTTCTTTTGGTTTCATCAGCCTTTCTTTCATGACTGGATTTGACCTACCGTCTCAGCAGCTTTCACACTGGGGGTGGGGAAATAGTAATTCAGAGTTACTCACCTTGCATTCCTGTTGAAACTTGCACGGATAAAGTACCCACACAGAGGAAATAATAAATTATTTTAACACTTCTGTTACTGCTTTTCTTTTGTGAGAGGGCTTAGCTCAGGGTGAGTGTAGCCAATAGATGAGCAACATAAATAAATTAATTTCTTCTGATTTCTAATAAAAACCAACATGGGAATTGGATTGCACCTCTGTTTAAATGCATAATCTACCTGATCTTGAGTAGCACTTTAAAAAAAAAAAAAAGGTGGGATGACAAACACCTGATTTTGGAGTGGAAGTGGATTTTACACAGGAATTGTCAATGCAGTTGGAGAAGGCAGTGCCTGGCAAGGGCTGTAGTATGTTGCTTAGGAAACCCCCAGAGTGTAATTTTCCGGAAGCACTGATCTTGCATTAGCTAAGTTCCTCTGAAGTTTCAACTCATCACACAAAATGGCAGAACACTCTCCTTCCCCCACAAGTTGAACTGGTACCTTTATCGGGTCAAGGAATTATTCAAATATTAAAATTTGAATGAAAGTAAAATGATAAATGTGCAGTTCTTGTTGACTGTCCACAATGCCTTTTTTTTTTGGTTGGAAACTGAAGGAGATAATGAACTAAAACATTAAAAAAAGTTATTATGTAAGAAAGAAACATGGCATGTTATTTGCATCTTTGCTAATGACTAATGGGCGTGCTGTGCAATCCCAAAAACAGCAGGAGGAAAAGCGTGTTTTGGAGAGGATGATGACTGGATTAGAGCCCCATGATAAAAATAAATACTGTAATTAGAAATTTTTCAACTTCTGTGTGCACACAGATTTTTTCATACTCTAATTACAGCATATCCTTGTAGTAAGGGTAAACAGTTCTAACTCTGTTTGAAACCTCCAGTTATGTTCTGCTCAGGGTGGTTCTCAGCCAGAGACTGACCGGGCTTACGTAAGTGAAACCTCACAGGCTTAACCCTGCAGTATTACTTTGTGACTTAATTTTTTTCTTATTTAAAGAAAAACAAGTACTTTACCATTTGTGTGTTTTACAAATGCTTGTATGTATTGGGTATAAATGGCAAGGTTTTGGTAGCAGCAGTGGTGACCACTGTGGAAGGTGGTCGGGGACCCAGCTAGCTCTGCACCAGAATGCTCCGCCATTCGGGAGCGTGTGGTGTTTCTGTGAAACATACTTAAGAAGCAACAGTAAGGGCTGTGGTACAAAGGAACACCGCCAGAGCAGCAGGAGGCACTCCACGGCAGCACTGCTACCACCCCCAAGGGGACTACAGATGCTACAACGTCCAAACAGCATGTACTTCCCCAAAACAACTCTATTAATTTGCCATTATATTCTAAATATTACCTCTTTCTAAATATTACCCAATTTTTGAAACGACTTTGATTGATGAAAGATGAATATGTGTCTGCCTCTTCATCTGATATCCACTTAATACAATCAGGGTTTTTTATGCTAATGCTAGAATAGGTGTGCAGCTAATACAGTTCAGTTCTACGGTGGTGGTGTGTATGTTTACAAAACAGATTAGAGCATATTCTTTATTAAAGATGGAATCTGCCAGACTGCTTTTAAGATACTGAACAAGTATTTTATCTTCAGACTATGATTTTCTTATCCAGTGTAGATTAGTGCAGAGTCTGGGTGGCAAGTATCAGGGGTTCTGTGTGCATCTCATGTAAGGAAACAAGTCACGTCTATTTTGCAGCTGCTCTTTCCATGTGTTTCTGTAAAGCAGAATGAAGTACTTCCACAGCAAAGTCGACATCCTTTTTAGTAATGCACATAGGTGGTTTAATTCTGAATGTCTGAGAAGAGAAAGGGGGCGGGGGAAGAGAAATCCTTAAAATTGTACAGAAAGCATAGAGTTTCTAGCAGCCTGTCTAGGTCAGCACTTGCCTTCTGCCCAGAATACCTAACCAAAAGTGTGGTAACAGCAGAGCAGGAACTGAGGCTTCTGATAAATGCACTCTGAGGTGAGGCAGTTTTGGACTTGACTGCATCCCGCTCCCCACTCCACTCTTGTGACAAATCAACTGCCTCCAAGAGGCCTGGCTAAAGCAGATCATGTTTGCAGCTGTTATTCCAGATAGAGCTACCATAACACCTTAGATGGGTTTGTACTAAGAAAGAACAGAGACGTAAGTGTATTTTCCTCTCTGGCAGCTTTCCCATAGGGAAAAGTAGTATCTATTGAGAGTGGCAGCCTCTTGCATTGTGACAGCTGATTTACTGTTACAGGCTTTTTCTAAGGCTTCTAAGAGAATGTATTATCAAAGAATCACTAAATGCTAACTTTCAGTTAGGGTACCATAGCTTGAATGCAGGTTGATCAGGAACAGATGTATATGCACAGTTTAACTTGTCAAGAACTTAGGTTCTTAAATCCAAATGTTTGATCTATATTATAATGTTTCCAAGCGTATTTAACTTCCCTAAGAATCTTAAACTTTCAGTTTAAGTTTTTCTGTTGTCATATCCCAGGACCTCACGCAGCAAGAGTAGAATAATGGTCTTTCCCACCCAGAGCACAGAGATAAACAGATAACTCACAGATAAACAGCACTCCCGTGAGACAGAATCAGATTTTACTACGCTCTGAGCTGCAGCCTGTTAGTCTGTGACTTGTGGAAGAACCAATGAGGTGACAGATGCAGCGTCCTCTTTATTTCAGCCATCCTTCATCTATCTCATACAGAAGCTGCTTCCTCTATGTCAGAGGGCTTCACTGACCTGACCAGCCCTGAGGCAATTCTCTGCTATCAACTCGCATGCTGTAAGACGATGGTGACGTGGTGCCCTGGATACGGCATGGTGCATCCGCAATTGGTGTGGGCTGATGCCCATTCTCATGCAACTCTCACTTCAGTGCTGTGCTGCTGAACTTGCTTATTAATGACTTTTTTTTTTTATTACCATCTAGGTGGAATGCTACCAGCTCTCTAGAATGAAAGAACTCACAAAACCAAACTTGCTCTGTGCTGACAGGTCAGGTGATAACCTGAACAGTGGCAAAGACTTCACAGAGCTGAATACTGCTAATTTCTTCTAATTTACACACATTATAAGACATTGCTTTTCTAGGGGAGGTTGTGGGAACTGGAAAGGAAAACTGCAAGCTTAGAGCTACTTCAGCATACTTGAAATTAATAGCTCTGGCTCAATTTGTAAATTACGCAAAATTAAACAGAGCTAGTTCCTAAGAGTATACGTTTTCTAGTTTATTTACTAAACTAAAGTTAATTTAGCTTGAGGGAAACTGGATGTAGTTCACGAGGACAGAAAATAAGCTTTATGTATAACCAGAGGTTCAGCACCTGACTGTAGAGTCCTCCTCTGCCGATCAGAACCCCCATGTCTTTACAGTCCTCCCAGATCCGATTGATTTCTTCAGCTGGAAGAGGGTGGCGACTGTCCTAAGGAAAGTAAACATTAAACTTCACTTAGATATTCTAAATCAGTTCTATGAAAAAGATGTATATTCCAGACTCTCCAGTAAATCCCATCCCCACCTCCAGCTGAAAACATTAGCTGCATAATATATCTGCTTTCTAAGATGAGTTTATGCAATTAAGGTACACAAGTCACTGTTTACTCAAAGCTTGTGAAATATTTGAAATGCTGGAATGTTCTGGCTCATTTTTAGCCAGAGCAATGTTTTCTCATTTACTAGCTGTTTTTTAATAGAAAATCTTCCTCTTATTTCAATTGAAATAAAATGTGATAAAACTTTCAATGGCACTGTAAATTGAAAGGAATAAAGTAAGTCACTAACCTTATCTGTCACCATTTCTACTCCAATCATAAGTCCCTTGCCACGGACATCTCCAATAATCTCAAATTTATCCCGTAGTTTAGCCAACTCCAGCAGCATATATGTTCCCACATCCTCACTGTTTTTTTGTAGACCATCTTCTTCAATAGCCTGGTTAAAATTACGTACAATGACAGTTTTGCAGGAAAAGCTTCCAATACAGTTGGTTAATCCCCATTTAGCTTGAAGACACAGTATGTTTATCTCACTTCCTTGCAGACTATGTTCCTTCACTACTATGGTCCTTACATTTTTTTTTCTCTTCTTACACTCCTCTAATGGCATCAGAGTACAACTGAACATAGTATTTTGATGTTGCTGTGGCGTTCTTCACGTTACTTATTATTCCATAAACATAATCCAGTAATTCATGCTCACATGTAGTCATAACTGAAGAATAGCTGACCAGCAGGATTGTTTTCAAAATCTTACCAGAAATATTTTAATTCTTTCTCCAGTATCATGAGAAGAATATAATTTGACAAGGCATACCTATATCTACTAGGCAGTCTTTCAGGAAACAACCTGAGTGTTTTAATTAGACTGACCAACACCATGCTTTTTAATCACAATCTTTTTGTTCCTTACCCTGCTCTCCTTAATCAAAGTTCTAACATGCAGCCAGCTATCAGCACTGACATGCACAAACCGTTTTATGAACTTAATATTTGCATTAAGAAAATTCAGATGAAAAACAAAAAATACAATTACAGAAA